CGTATGGTGGTGTTTTTCTTTCTTTAATGCTGTAAATAGTGTTCCATTGCTTGTAGTTTAAGTAAAAAAACATATGCTATTGTGTTATCTCCATGTTTCTGTGAATTGTAGTAGCTGATGTAATGTCCGCATTTACAGGTCATTTACTCAAGGTAGGAAAATTGCTCTGACCCTGTGGCTTTCCATAGTTGTCATTTACTATGTGACAGTTGCATTTTGACTATACTTTGCTTTTTTTCAAAGTAACATGTAGTCTTTCGTACTCGAACCACTACATCAATCCTGCGCCTTTCAATTTGATTTATTGTTGTGCAAATTATATGTTATAGTTTCCACAAATTTCATAAACGGTTGAGTATTTGACACTTACAGCATGTGTTTTCTCAACAATTAACATCTTGAGCATTATGTATACAAGCCATGTTTTTACATTTAATATAAACTTGAGAAACCCATACAGGAAAGCAGTTTTTAAGAGGCATTTGTCTTTCAGTTAAATTAAATTAATAAAAAAAAATTTCTTTAGGCAAAAAATGGCATAAAGAAATTAAAATTTTGTTTTTCAAAATTGATTTTTATGAGCTTTACTGTATCTAATAATCATAATGAAAAAAAAAGCCTGACATTCATCAAGTTCAACTTTCTAAAGCTAAAACAAATATGTGAAAGATTGAACTTAATAAATTAGATTTTTTTTTCTAACCTCTTTCGCTATATAATTGTATAATCATATGCCTGCTGTAACTGTTGAGTGTAAGCTGTTTAATCTGTTTGGTTGGCAGCTGAAGCCGGTGTTCAAAATGATAAAACTGTTATTTGATACAGGATCTTTGTGATCCATTCGATTATATTTCACATTATCTCCTCCTTCCAAAAATGCATGAATTCAATAAAACGTTTCTGGAACACAATGAGTGAATTTGAAATAAGGTCTGGTGTATGTTTAGTGTATTCATACAACTTGTGCACAGTGTGCAATTAAGTAATATATTCTGATCTGGCCAACCATTCGTTCCTATTCTACCTCCTACAATGTTTCTGCTGTGTCCTATATGCCTATAAGTCCACAGATGCCTGCTATCTCCAAGTGAAAGTACTTATTGATTCTGTTTTACGCCCCATTCTTAATTATTTCAATACCTTTCCATAGGACAGTTCAAGCATTTCGGCTTTCAGCTACGATCTAGATGTAGATAAAACTCCCCACCCAAGATACAGCAGAATGTTTCAGAAAGTCATGCTGATTTATCTTTCCAACTAGTTCGTCAAGGAATGAAATGTAATATGTCAAATATGGAATATGTGAAAAAAATTTAATTCCCATCACCTGCGCTGTAAATCAGTTTAGTATAACCATAGATTGCTCCAATACTTACCCTGTAGCGACAGCATCTTCCCTAGGGGTACAACTAGATATAACCCTTCCTTTTGGTGTCCACATTAATGAGCTAACAAATACCTGTCATTTCTATCTTTGTAATACTTGGACTGCCTGATTTTCATTCCTAACCCCTTTAATTCCTTCTCATCTCAGCCACGAGATCTTGTCTAAAATCTCTACTTCTTGGACTACTAATACAGCTGCCATGCTTTATTAGCTACAAAATCTTCCTCCTTTAGGTTGGACTGTTTGGTAAAAGTGCTAGCAACTTGAATTGTTCAAGATTTCCCTAGAAACAAAGACTTTGGTATCTGGAACCAGGATCAGGGGTTAGTTTATGTGTTAGATCCAACAATCTGGTCAAATAAGAACCATTGCCATGTCTGGTTCAAAGTTTGTTCTGAAAAAATAGCGCTAATAGCTCTTATTGGGACTGAAATGTTGCTGGTGGATTTAAAATGAAAAAAAAAATAGCTGTTTCTGGAAGATTGTGAATGACAGATTTTCTTTGTGTTTTGGTTCAAAGTTTGAGGCAGGTGACATATTCATAGTGTGTGAAGTAAGTAGCATCCGTGTATTTAGAAAAAAATGCACAGCAGCAGGAGAGGGCAGAATATGGGAACAGAAAGGGTACAGTGTATGAAAATGTCTCATTGTGTGACATAATGGCCATTGAGGCATTCCAATACATATATTACTTTTGAGTGGCACATTTTTATGAATATTTGAATTCTCTACAGTTTATCTGTAGTTTATGTTTCAATTTTTTTTTCTTTTTAATTAGTGTAATAAGTTGTTCTATACTACTTATTAAGGACTGACCGATTATCGGTTTTGCTGATATTATTGTCTGATATTCAGATCTTTCTTTTTGTAAACATCGGTATCGGCCGATAATCACCGGCAATGCCGATGATGAATGGGTGGGCCGGCGCGCCCATAAGAGTGCACTGGCCCGGGAGCCGCTAGATTGGAGTGACCGGTAGGAGGTGGGCGCACAGCGCTCCCTGCTGCCAGGCACTCTGTGCAGCGTGGCCGAGCGGAGCAGTGCCTACCGCAGTACAGGAACTTCTGTTTCATGTACCCGGTCGGAATGAAAGGAAGTGCTCACTGAGAGAGCACTTCCTGTCAGTTCAGCCAGGTACAGGAGACTGCATCTCCTGTATCGCGGTGCACACTGCTCTGCTCGGCCGTTCTACCAGGAGACACAACGTGGAGTGGAAACCAAGGAGGGGAGAGAGAGAGGGACACTATGGGATGGGGGGGTGGTAAGGATCATTATTGGATGGGGGGTGGTAAGGATCATTATGGGACAAGGGGTGGGGGAGAGGTGTAAGGAGCACTGGGGGGATGGATGGGGAGGATGGAAAGGAACACTATGTGTGGAAAGGGGACGGGAGGTGGTAAGGAACACTATGGGAACACTATGGACAGGGATGGGGATGAAGAACACTATGGGACAGGGTGGGAACCATGGAAGGAGGGAGGTGAAGAACACTATGGGGAGTGGAAAGGAACACTATGGGGAGGGGTGGAAAGGAACATAGGTAAGGGAGGTGGTAAGGAACACTATGGGACAGGGGAGGGAAGCACACCATGGGACAGGGAGTGGGGGGGAACACCTATGGGACAGGGATGGGGGATGAAGAACACTATGGGACAGGGATGGGGGGGATGAACACTATGGGACAGGGATGGGGAGGTGAAGAACACTATGGGGGAGTGGAAAGGAACACTATGGGGGAGGGGGTGGAAAGGAACACTACATAAGGGGAGGTGGTAAGGAACACTATGGGACAGGGGAGGGGGGGATGAAGAACATTACGGGACAGGGATGGGGAGGTGAAGAACACTATGGGACAGGGGAGGGGGGGAAATAACACTAGGGGGGAGAGAAGAACATTAACTGAGGACACTAAGGTATAGGGGTGGGAAGGGAATGGAACACTGGGGTATGGGGGATCACTAAAAGAGAAGGGAGAGGAATATTAAGGGGAATGGAGGGGCACTGCATTTACTACACAAACACATTGCATCCACTACCCACACTGCATCCACTACACAAACATACACACACGCTGCATCCACTACACAAACACATTGCAACCACTACACAAACACACACACACTGCATTTACTAATCAAATACTCTCACTGCATCCACTACACACACACATAAATATTCTTGAAAACATGAAAAAAATCTGACTGGCATGTATATTTTGTGCATTTACCACTTAATAAAAAAAATATTTGCCAAAAAAAAAAATACGATAAATGTACAGAATATCGGTAAGTTATCGGCTTGAAACTTCACAGATAATCGGTATTGGCTCTAAAAAAAATCAATATTGGTCGATCCCTACCTATACAATTCCTGAATTTTTCTGATGATGCAAATTGACATCTTTATAATATACTAGGAACCAAGACTGCATATAAATCATCAGCATTAGATCTACTATTTTACCCTTTGGATTTTAAACGTATCGCACTACTGGTAGTTCCTGTATCTCTTTCTTTCACATATGCAAATACCCTGAGACACTACTCTACTGAAACAACTACTCATCTCTATCCCATCAAGCATTGTTGCTCTAGTGAGACTCATTTGGACTATTTTACGTTATTTTACTTTTCCGCTTGGACAGCCCTACCCCATCTCTTTGTATTGTCTCATCTATTGAAGGATTTGAGGGGTCTCCTTCGTTTGGATTGCCGCCTATCTACATATTGTTTGTTAATTAGCGCTGATTTCCTTTTCTATATTCTATCGTCCATGTCTAGTCCCTCAAATCTATTCTTTACTTCCACTGCATATTCACAAGGGATATTATTTATGTCGTATCTGATTGGTCTGATGGTTTTCCCTCTTTTCTTCAGTTTAATTCTGAACTTTGCAATGATAAGCTCATGGGCCAAGCCATAGTCAGCTCCAGGTCTTGTGTTTGCTGACTGTATAGAGCTCTTCCATCTTTGGCTGCAAAGTTTATAGTCAATCTGATTTCTATGTATTCCATTTGGTGATGTCCATGTGTAGAGTCGTCTCGGAGGCTGTTGGAAGAAGGTGTTTGCCATGACCAGATAATTATCTTGACAGAATTCTACTAATCTCTGACCTGCTTTATGTTGAACTCCAAGGCCAAACTTGCCAGCTATTCCAGGTTTCTTTTGGTTTCCTACTTTATCATTCCAGTCTCCTATGAGACTGGTAGCCTCTTCTGGATCGCTACATTGCCGTGGTGAAGGGGCTTGTGTACTTCAATGAAGCTATGAGCTATACCATGTAGGGAAGATGGTGAGGTCATAGCAGAGAAGTCAGACAAATAATGGTCCACTGGAGAAGGAACTAGCAACCCACTCCAGTAACTTTGCTAAGACAACTATACGGACAAGCACAACCAGAGACAAAACCGTATGGCCCTGGAAGATAAGCCCCTCAGGTCAGAAGGTAACACATTACTGAGGAAGAGCAGAGACGAGTACGAGTAGCACCAGATCAAAGGAAGTAGTTGGGCCAAACTCAAAAGGTCACCCAACTGCGGATGTGTTTGGAGGGGAAAGGAAAGTTCACTGCTGCAAAGAACAATTTAACATAGGAACCTGGAATGTTAGAACTATGAACCAAGGCAAATTGGATGTTATGAAACATGAGATGTCAAGGTTAAACATCGATATCCTGGGAATTAGTGAACTCAAATGGACTGGAATGGGACATATCACATCAGACAGCCATCACATCTTCTACTGTGGTCAAGAATACCGCAGAAGAAATGGAGTAGCCATCATAGTAAATAGTCGGGTGGGCGAAGCAGTTCTCGGCTACAACCCAATAAATGACAGAATGATTTCAATTCGAATTAAAGGCAAGCCATTTAACATCTTACAAGTTTATGCTCCAACCATGGATGCTGAAGGGGCTGACTTTGTCCAGTCTTATGAAGATATTCAACACGATAGATATAACACCAAGAAAAGATATATAAATATATAGTTTTTCATATTTGTTTTTGCTATAACAGTAGTTAGATATTACTAAGAAATGTTTAAATACCATGCAGAGGTGCTGCTGAAATGGTATTTAGATTGGTTTGCAGGAATGATGTAAGCTTTCATTTAAAAAAATTAAAACCCTTTTCACAGTAGTAGCATGTGGCCAATGGTGGGTTATTTGGAAGGAGCTAATGAAGGATTTGGGATATATAACTATTATTTTTGCAAACTGTGTTCCTAAGAGATTTCGTTCAGCTGATTAGAGACACAGTCCTGGGCTCCCTCTTAATGTGCAAATGATAAATTTGTAGGCACACAGTGGAAAGAATATATGGTTGTGAAAAAAGCATTAATGTTTTCCTTATTACGCAGAGTGCACATTGGTTTTATTTAGGAAGCAGCCTCTTCTATGGTAAGCTTCTAGGCTTGATGTGACTCCCTGCAGTGAAAAGCTCACTACTAACCTCCCATGGTTAGGTCCATTATTTCTGATCAAAACTAATTTGTTTTTACCTCCTTGTGTCCCAGAATAATATATCAATATCTTATTTATACCATCTACCACATTAGCCTGTGTTAGGATCTGCTCTGCTTGAGGTTTCATTGTTGTACATGTTATTTAAGCTGCTATGAAAGTGCCTTATGTTGGAAAAAATGAGACATTGTTATTTTTCTTATTGTAAGTTATCGCAGTATGAAAGCTGTGATCTTGCTTTCCAGCTTTTCCTTTTTGTTTTGTTATTTTGTTCCTTTTCTTTTCTTTGTTTTTCTTACTTTTTTTTTTGTGTGTGTACATGGAAAAATTATTGCACCTGTGTGATATTCTCCTCCTCCTCTATCTGCTCCAATATGTCACCCATAGCTGCCCCATACAAACTAAATTGTACAAGTGGTAAAAAAGGCGCAGGTTGTGACTAAGAAATCCGTTTTACAAACCTCGTACTATCTCGGTTAATGCACACTTTACTTATGGGTTGCTTTTCACATTCATTAGTAGATTAATTTTATGTTATTATTTTCCAACACGCCTGCTGCATTGCAATTTTATTGTTATTTTTGTGTGTCTGTGTGTTTATTTTACTGGCTTTGTTTTAATAAGAGCCGGACATAGAATACGGCGTCTGCATTTTTAATTAGTCTTCCTTTAAGGAAAATGCCTGTTTGAAATTTTCTAATAAAGACAGAGCATCATTCCTCTCTCGTTTAAATAACTGCTTGGTGTAGTATAAAATTGTAAGAGACACGATGCAGATCAGGATACCGGTTTGAAGTGGGGAAGAGGAACAAGCAATGTAATAATAAGCAGAATTTAATGATTTACTATAAATCAGCATTTTTGCCCTGTCAGTGAGATTGAGAAGGCAGACAGCAACTCACATGTCTACAGCACAAATGTCTTCCTGATGAATCTTGTGCTCTGAATCACTGATCACAACATTCAAACAGCACATCCAAATAATGAGGAAAATAGATACACGGAATTCTTATGCTTCATCTAAAATGTAAAGACGTGTTGTTCTATCGATGGCAGAACACCTCCCGCTCTCGTGCAACCGATGCCATACACAAAGTATCTGAAGTATAATAATACTAGTCCTCCTATTGATGCACTGACATTAACTTGTTTGGATGAAAAATACACTCATAGCCTTTGGACGAAATCTAATTGCCACATATTTGTTATTATTATTTCTTCAAAAAAAGGGGGCAACTAGAGGTCAGAGAAAAAGTAGCCGGGATTAGAAAAGGAAATCTTTAGTAATTTTGTTAAGGCAGCATATGGTGAAAGAGACGTACACTCGATATGGAAGTTGGAGAGATTTATCAAACAGTGCACAGCCATTCAGTTATAGGGTATCATTGCCTTGGTAAAAGCAGATTAGGTGGGGAAAAAAATCCAGGCTAGGATTGATGAGGATTTGTATTTTTGTTTCTCAATGTGTAATATCCATATGAATTAGAGGAATATGTATATATCCAGATTATAGATCTCCTTTGTGATTCACGATGGTATAAAGCCTAAAATTCACATTTTACCCTAGTATCGGAATGTCCTTCCAGTCATGTGGGTCTAAGGGGTTCACGTGGGTTCCACATAGTGCTATGTTAGTCATTGTACAAGGAAGAAGGAAGCTTGCACAAGAGACCTCTACACCAGCTGCCTAGTCAACAAATAGATTAACACAAAAACTGCCCGAGCAGTTCCCATTCTAGTTCCCCTTGTGGTAAAGGTTTTATCCTTGTTACAGTGAATTTAAACCACAGTTCTCTGATCTGGCTACATGTTATTATTTGACACTGAACTGGAGGCAATGAAAGGGACAAAGAGAAAACAAAGTGTGTCTTTATCCTGCCATGCCCATGTCTCCTATTGCTCTCTGTCGCTGTTGTTTATTATACCAAGGTAACAAATGCTAGAATTTCTTCACACAAGCTGAAGTTTCCAATACATCTCTTTTTATTTCGAGTATTTGGGGAGATAGAAGAAATTTATGCTGAGTCAAATTTCAAGTCTAGTTTTAGCTGATGTACTCTGTATTGGTTCTGGGCATTTAGCTGGGCAAGTAGCATTTTATTTTTAAAGAAAATATGTTTTAATGCTTGTGGCCATGGCAGTACATACAGGAGTCACAGAGGCGCAAAGAAAACTAACTGCAAATCCACTAATGACAGTTGTAATCATGTGTGTGACCTACCACTGCTCCTTTGAACATGCAGTGTGGGATATCATACCCCTATCACATCCCTGACCTTTACATCAGTAGACACCTCTCTAATCTGCTCTTTCTGTATGGAAAAACATTGCTAGCTCTGACCGTCTATCAATGCACTTCCCACTAAGAGTAAAGTCTTAGAGATTGGGTGGTCGGAAGACAGTAGGAAATGCCAGCGTTTGTGTGTGTTTGTGCTGTTGTGTGAATGTTTATCTATTAGTGTTTGTGTGTGTGGATGCAAGCAAACACTAAGACAAGGTAAAGGAGTGGGAACATGCACATAATTAGAAATACGTACAGCGTAGCCCAACAAACAAATAAAATTACTGACCTCATGAAGAAAGACATAACTTAAGAGTACTATGCCCTGTGACATAAAAAAAACAACACATTATTACTGGAAACCAGCCATCCAACCGAAGGATATGGAGCCAGGAGCACAAAGGCCAGTTAAGGTTCACAGCAATGGGTCCGGTAGTCTCTGCAGAGGATTGCCCCTAAGCTCTTTTGCAAGCCATTCCTTCTTTCTTAAGGTGATGTGACGTGTTTTGGGGCACCTATACAGGTGGGGAGGCTTGCATTATAAAAGTCATTTTATTAATGGACAATTCACCTTCTGTAATTAACAGAGTCATGGGAAGCAAGTGTGTGTTAAATTTGCTCTTCTACAATTAACAATATCATTGTGTGTGTGTGCATGCGCGCTTTACAGAATGATCTTGTATTGTGTGTGAGAGATGGGAGAGTAGCATCAGAAAATATTGATGGTTTTATTTATCTGTGCTCCCAGACATATGCTAGTAGTGTGATGGTGCACCTGGCTCATTTGTATACCATTTTTGGGATTGACCCCAACTTTTTCATTTCTGTGTATGTCTGTACGTGCCTGGTTGTATGTGTGCTAGCGGAATTTACACACAATAACACCCAGCCCACATCACACAAATGTATTTCAGCCAACCCCAACACAATCACACACAGCCAGTAAACAAATCTGATTCTGGTCTAATGATTGGACGGGGGAGTGAGGAGGAGCACCACAATATGGTGATTCTTACATTAGGGCCCACCAGATTCCTAGTTATATCCCTGCAAATAACATATTGTTGATGCCAACAAACTTTATATAACATATTGTTGTTGTGTCCGAGTGTATAACAGAGCTCCACAGCAATAAAACTCACAGTAATGTGTCTTTATTTTCATTTTGCAAGAATTATAGGAACTGAACTAAGCATACATTAAATACAATTGACATGCACAACTTAAAATATACCAATATAGCCACATGCTTTAAACAACAGGAATATGTGCATTAAATGTGATAGTGTCAAGTAAGAGTTGATCTTTGTGGTCCTAATATTTTAGATATATACATTTCGTAGTTTCAAAAAGCAGCTTTAGGTAAAGTGTTTTGTATTAGGGACTGGATCATGAGCATGTTCTGCGTGTGAACGACGTGGCTACGTAGAAAAGGGAGTAGATTGGTTAAGGGTATGTCATCCATGATTGCTCAATTATAAACTGGCTTTTAATCCCTCAAAAACGTGAATTTTTGTATTTGTAAAAACACCTGATTTGGGGATTTAGTTACAGTATATGATCATATCTTACATAATCGTCAACGTACCCCATTTTTGGCAGGTACTATTCTAGCAACCTAATGCCTGCTCTTATGAGATTAATCCACTTATTTGGGAAATCCAAGTAAGGTTAAATGGCCCTGTAATGAGGCGTATGTAACAGGGAGAGGTGCAAAATGGAGGGAACTGGTCTGAACTCCCAAATAAATTTGTTATTGGAACAAGAGGGCTTCACTCACCTAAACATGTACAATTAATACAACATAAGTACAATTAGTACAACAGACAAATAAAGCACTCTTGCATAACTATCTAAACTATATTTGTATCTATATATATATTATTTACTTTTAAACAAGGTTGTTTTATATAGTAGAATGTATGGAGGGGACCATTCAAAGATATTAAAATATATTCTTACCTTCCATAATGACTGTGACAGTTATCTAGTTATACAACATACTTTGCTGTGAAAAAAAGTTTTTTAAAGATTTGTCTGCTTTAAGGGATTACGTGCAGTGTCTATTGCAAAGGACATATTGTAGTGGAGGTCTATTGTACTTTCATCTTCCCTTCAATTCTGTGTCATAATTTTGCTAGCATACTTTATGTAGCCATATCTTCCAGATAATGTATACAGGAAGTACATCTAAAGCAGCCTTCACTCCATCCATACAGGTGCTGTGGTATCGGTCAATTTACAT